TTCAATCAAGAAAGAAAATATAAATTATGTGATTAATTCCAAAATCTGATGTTGTACTCTTTTTACATCTTCCCAAATACTAATTGATCTGTCAAAATGATTACTCTCTGGTTTTAAAAAATTATAAAATATAGTCTGAGAATGATTTGTACATATTATACACTCATATTGATTTTTTTTTAAAAAAAATAATTTATATCTATCCAATGTCAAACAACATTCAAAAATTTAGCTTAAGAAGTTAGAAGAATACAATATCTGTAATAATAGTCATATCCAAGCTATGAGCTTCATAAACTTATAATAATGTGAGTAATATAAAATAACAAGTTAATTTACTTTGTCAAATAATTTATTACAAATTATGAAAGACAAGGGGAATTAGAACGATCATATACTCATCCCAAATAAATATTAAATTTCTCTTAGAGATTCTTATAACAAAAGATTTTTAGAGTTGATGTGTAGGATAAATTTAAGGACAGATAACCCAAACCAATTTATTGAGTGATAGACTTGCTATAAATTCTACTCTTATAAAACTGATATCATATGTGTCTTAAGTTGTGCTTTTGTTTAAGAGTTAATTTTAGAAAACTCCCCTCAACTATGGAGGGCATGACAACCTCCCTCCCCCCCCTCTCCCCGCAAACTTTTTAAGACTGAGTAAATCTCTGCCAAGTTTTATAGATAATCTATCTCAACTCAAAAAAATTTTGATTTAACCCCAGTGAACTTTTCTCAGTTAAATGTAACCTCTCAAAACTAACATCATTAAGTCTTATCTATTATGTGACAAGTACTTGACTTGGAAAGAAAATATTGATCAACCATAAAAAAAATTTCTTGGCTTTTGCCAGATAAAAGAGGTGATATAGAGGAAAAAGTTATAAATTGGTTGTGATCCTTTTATTGTCTGATGAGGGGTTCTATTTAATTAAATTTGCTTTTTTAAGAGGGTGTTTTTTTCAAATCACATATCGAAGTAATTTTGTTAAAGGGGTTTGTTGATAGAAGTTTAAAAGATTAGGGGAGTTTTTATGAGATACGCTATACTTGAGAGATGTTTTCTAAATTTGTACCAAAATTGAGAGGGGTTATCTATAACACCCTACGTAATGAGGGGGTTCTGTCAAATTGAATAAGTGGAGTGAGTTTTTGAAGACAATCCCCGTAGTTGAGAGGGTTTTTTAAAATTAACACTTCTTTTAAATATGACTTATTTATAATTTGTCCCTTAAATTTTTAATAATTTAATATTAATCCCTAAAATTATGAGCATTTTTAAAAATTTATGGGAATAACATAGAATCATTGGATATTTAAAATCAAGGAACTAATATCTAAATAACCTTTATATATTTACTCTTATAGGTATTCTATTAAACATCGACCAATATATTGCTATATCGGCCAATATATCGGGTTAAAGACTTTATCTTGGTAATATTTTATATTATTTTCTTTAGTTGATTGATTTTTTTGATAAATTGGCCATTATAAAAAATATGACTGATATATCTCTTTGAAGATATTGAGAAAATTATGTTATTTTTAATTTAATTGTGGACTGGGATTTGGATTGTGTTTGGGAAATAAAATCCTAATGTTCTTTGGGATTTAGATAACGTATCTTGATGCACTTAAATATCCTAATGTTTTCTAAAATTTAATGTTTGTACCTTCTGTCTTGTTACCTAAACATAAGAATGCTCTTTGTAATTTTTCTATATGAGTTTCATGGTATAGTTTTAGGATAATTCTATATTTTCTATTTTTTCCATAAATACTTTATTGACCTGCAATTATCTATTTATATATTACGTGGGCTTACTTATTTAATATCAAAAATTTTGGATATGGATCATAAAATGATGAAATAAATCAATGGAGAACTCTCGATTCATGTGCTTAAACTGGTTTAGATTTTACCAATATTCATGCAATCTAAATAAAGGACATAATAAGATATTTGTGTGCTAGAACTTTTAGGTAATTAGATTGGCCAATAGCTAGAAGGACCTGAATGTATAGAGTAATGAGACAAAACAAAGAACCAATTTAGATCATATTTCAAATTTAATTACTTTATCAAAGTCTATGTTAATCATCATCATTTAAATCAGAAACAAAATACACAAACATAGAGGATCAAATTTACTAAATAGCCGATATCCAACATGGATTAATAGGGTGAAAAAATTATAATCCTATGCATGACAAACTTATTCTGTAAAAACACAATAGCAACATTAAAAGATGCTTTAATATTATAGATAGGAGACTCATCTTTGCTCAACTTATACTAAGGTTCAAATTATTTAAGGAAATACTAATTAGTAAGAGCTTTCCCAAATAAAGTTATTAAACTTAAAGCTGAAATTGACATGATTGGATGATGGAAGTATATCTTGCGAGCAGGGACTTGTCACTTGTTAAAGTTCCATGACAATTATAAGAGAGAGACTGATTATGTTGTTCATATGCTTTTCATCAATCTCTAATTTATAACTTGACACTGAATTATTATGATAGCATTTCCATAAAAATCTACTCCATTTTTAATGTCATCCCAAGCACTTCATTTCTCTGAAATTAGAAGTCGAATGATTGGAAGGAGAGGAATAGAGAGAAATAAATGAAACATAAATGTCACATATAAAACTAAGTTTTTAATTAGAATGTAAAAACCCAAAGCTTAAGAAGTTTCACTTCAGTAATCAGGGTTTTATTATAAAAATATAAGAACTTATTTTGGATGCATGCAAATATGATGCTTGTTTTAGTATTTATTTTTGTCTGAAATCATGGTAAGAAAGTTTATTTTGTATTTCTACTATAACATGAAAAGAGTAATACAATTAGCTTAATATATTATTAATCATGGCCTACTTCACGATATTAGCATCATAGATCTCTTTAGTACAATATGTTTTAAAATTACACTATGAAATGTGTTTAGGGGGTTAAATTTCAAAAGTATTACATCTAATGATATTTTAACATACATTTGTCTATTTAGTCCTTTTATAATACATTTTGAAATTTTTGTGATACCAATGTCTCCAAAAAGAAAACTAATCGCCAAATTGACTACAGGAATTTGGATCGTGTGAAATTGACTCATTTCTATAATAACTATGTCTTGGAATTCATTTTTAAAATACTAATTGAATTATAGAGGAACATATCACACTAACATGTGCTTGAGAAAATTTGATCCTCAAAAGAAGTCGACATCTTATGCTCTGCTAAATTTCCCATTCTAATCTAAATGGAGTTTTGGTTGAGCTTTTCTTTTATAATTGTATGAATTTGTCTTAGTAGGTGTTATGGTGAGCGCAAGAAAATGTAATGAGCTAATTTATATACGAGAGATGAAAGAGAAGTTATATACAGAGAAAATAAAAAAGATTGTTTGTTAGTTAATTGGGTTCATAGTTTATGCATTGATTCAAATTGAAGTTTAAAAGTCTAGACTCTACATCTTATTATTATAATTATTTGATTATTTTATACTATTGTGTGATTGATTGCAAAGAAATTTATAGTCTTGAGCTAAAACTTTTGGACTCATTAGCAATTGGTGCTCATAAGACCCAAAGCAATAAAGAATGTGGTACGTCATTCTCTAATTCTCCCTTAGTTGGTGTCTAAAAAACTCTGGTTCTCACATGGCTTAATCGTTAATGCTCCTACAATGCAGTTGTTTTAACTTCTTAGAAAGTATAGTAGGTTGCACCCCCCAACATGCAATTAAGGTAGTCCGAAAAGTGAATATTGACACTATAAAATTCTAAATGTAGATATAAGCATTTGCATGTAATGTTAGATTATAAACTATCAATAATAATTATATTCTTGACCAAATATTTTAGGGAGGAGTAGGATGTGCATTTAATAACTACAAACCTCTGGTTCTCCCATGGATTAATTTTTGCCCGACATACAATTAAGGTAGCCCAAAAAGTGAATATTAACACTCTAAAAATCTAAATGTAGATATAAGCATTTGCATATAGTGTTAGATTATAAACTATCGATAATAAGTATATTCTTGACTAAATATTTTGGCGAGGAGTAGAAGGTGCATTTAATAACTAAAAAACTCTGGTTCTCCTATGGATTAAATTTTAATATTCCTCCAATACAGTCGTTTTAACTTCTTAGATAGTAGAGCAAGTTGCAAAGCTCATTTGACATGCAAGTAAGGTAGCTCGAAAAGTGAACATTGACGCTATAAAATTCTAAATATAGGTATAAGCATTTGCATGCACTACAACACCTGAAATCTACCATAGCGGTTGAAAAACGCTATGGTATTATTTCATAGCGTTTTAATCAACGCTGTGTCAGAACCCGCTATAGTAGGTCTGTGGTTTTACATAGCGTTTCCCCAAACGCTATCAAAAAGTTTTCAACCATAGCGTTTTTATGTAGCTATAAAAGAGTATTCAATAGCGTTTCTATATTGCTATGACAAATATCTTTCATAGCGGTTGAAAACGCTATTAGTTAGTTTCCAATCATAGCGTTTTTATGTAGCTATAAATGAGTATTCAATAGCGTTTCTATATTGCTATGACAAATATCTTTCATAGCGGTTGAAAAACGCTATTAGTTAGTTTTCATTCATAGCATTTCAACGTTGCTATTGTCTTACATTTGATAGCGTTTGAGTTACTACAATGGTGTTTCAGTGAATGTTGTCTTTCTTCTTTTAATAGCATTTCAGTAATTGTTTTCACTTCTTATAGCATTTCAGTTGTGCCTATAAACCTTTGAGGTTGAACTAGAAATAACATCCAATTGTGACAACCATAAAAGCAAATATTTCATTTAAAGATTCAAATTGATACATAACCAAGTTGTAGCATACAAGAAGAGTCAACACAAATGTGCCAAAAAACAAATACTACTCTTTGGATAGTCCAACATGGAGTACAAGAAATTAACCATAGTACACAGAACAACAGAAACCAAATTTGTTGCATTACATATGACTTGGAAGACTCATCATCTTCAGCAATTGAGTACTTGTACTGCTGCAAAAAACAGAAATTAACAACACCAAAATTAAGATCCTAGAGACCTGAACATAATATAAACACACGACTTCAAACAACAACACCATTTAAAAATCACAAGCTTATATTAATTTCTTTAATAATTTTGTTTAAATTTGTTATTAATGAAAATAAGAAGACAATAATTTGTTCTTTATTAATTTCTGCATGAAAAACTGGCTTTAATGATAGCAAAGAGAGTCAATACCTTTATTTGAATGGTTAGGTTGCTCTTTCTGATCCATAGCTTTTCTTTATGGTCAGGGTGAAAGCGATTCACCTTCAGGGTCAGCATGCAGCTGGTACTCTCCAGGTAGCTGGTCTCATTTCCCTATATTGATATATAAGGCTTGAGCATTAATTTCTTGTGTGAATATTGGTGTAAACATAATTGATATAGCTGATTGCTAAATGTATAATACAAGGAGCAAATGTTGCTTACCTTGCTTATCACTGTCAAATGTCCATCAGTAGGATGTGATATTTCATTCTGACCACGTATAACAGTCCCATCCTACTCTTATGCTTCAAATTCACTTCAAAAATGGTATATCGTCTAGACCACAGTATCTTTTCCGAATCAAGGAAGTGAGAAACTTAGACCTACTCTAAATATTTACGAGCAAATACAATGGCAATCTATAGTAGAATAACTGCTACACATGTGCAGAGACTTGATAATGTCCTCACGAACTGGAATCGTCGCTGTAGCCGTCAGGGCCATCAATGGGATGTCAAACTTCAAGAATTTTAAATTGCAAGAGCTGAAGTTCTTTCTAAGTACAGAAAAAGATTGTTATATCGTAAATTGCACTTGTTATCCTTTAATGTTAAAAAAATGCATTTGGCAGCCACGCATGCATGCGAGCGTGCGCACACAGGGAGAAGAAATTGCAATAAAAATTCAAATTAGGCCAATTAGAAAGGATCAAACTATAAATCATAAGAGAGTTGAGTTGATCCTTAATTAATTAATTTATTTTGGTAAGAAAGCTTAATTTTCATTACCAAAATACATTTGCTATTGCAGAATGACGTTTGAATTTCTAAATGCAATTACTATCATACTATGTGAGTATCAGGTTTGAATTTCACCTGAAACCTGGCCCAACATTTGCTATCATACTATGGGAGTATCAGGTTATATTCTGACAATATGAAAACACACAAATAAAGAAGATAAAACTACCGGAAATATGAAAACAAACCTGTAGTACCCTTTCCAACTGGACCTTCACAAATTCGAATAGTATTGGCGACTGTGTAACAATTAGAGGTTCGTAAAAAATTTAGTAAGGAAATGTTTTTGGCATTATCGGTACAGTACAAACAAAATAGTAAAAGTGATTAAAAAACAAAGTGAAACGAACCTGCAATACTCTTTCCTATCGGACCTTTGCAGATTATATTGATAGATAAAGTAAGCTCTAATTGAAATGGGGAGGGGGTGTTGCATTATTGTTCTAACTGCTGATAGTAATTTTGATCCCTAATTTAATGCAGCGAAATTTCAAGTGTTGACATTTAATTTTGATAGTATATCATACCTTTCTACTGATTTAAAGTCTAATGTTATAAGGGATTACCATCCTATTCAGTACGTCTACATTTTAGATTGCAGCATGTTTCTATAAGCTATCTCTCTGTTAATATGTGGATAATGAAGACAACATTTCTCTATATCCATTTGCAAAGAACAATGAACATACATATGCCAGACTTCAATAACATCTGTAAGCTAACAAAATGCACATGATACATATAAACCATAAAATATGCCCACATAAAAATCGTTTAAATGGTTTCGTAAGTATATCAGGCCATTGCACTTATTAGATTGTCCATCACATGCTATCCTTTGGCAATCATACATGTACAAAAGAAAGGTGAATACCCATTTCTACACTTTACCTTGCAAGTCAAATTGCTCTAACGATTCAAAAAAACTAAGATTGATTATATTGCATATTGTATGAATTTTAGATATTCCCAAACTTACCTATGACTGAATGAATGTAGCTCGCCAGGAAAGTGGCCTTTAATCCTCCAGCCAATGTGTATACAATTACACCAAGTGGAATGAGGAAGCTCGCAGCATAAATATTCACACCAGTGAGTGCAATAACAAATGCAGAACCACCAAGCAGGAGCATGGCAGTCACGATTATATTGGTCATGAAGCAGAATAAAAGAAATACAACATGAGCTGCAGTTCCCCATCTGCACAAATATATACATATGTTGAGTACAACAGAGTGCAAACTAAAAAGAGCCTAGTTCAAAAATAGTATACATTTTTCCAGCAACTGTTACATAAGAATTGTTAGTATCTTAATGAGCATGTCATGATCAAAGCAAATGATTTAGTATCCAATTCAGTGAGGCATATTCACATTATAAGCCTACTTCATTGAATCTAAACATTTGTCTTAAGCTGATGTAATCTCTCTTATTGACCAATATGGGATATGTTAATGGTGATATTTTTAATGCATAGCTTACCAATTCACATGTAGGTCCAACTATGCCTATAAAGCAATCATGCCCTGTTTACATGCAAGCATACATATCATATCGAGTCAGTTCTATACATGAGCCTCTGCTACTAATTTTTATGTAGACAGACACATCTATTTTTCTATTTTGATAACATGAGTAAAAGTTACATGCACAAATCAACTAGTAGAATGATTGATCAGTAGTTTTGCATTCAACTGAACCAGAAACGAAGTCAATCATCTAGAATTTACCACAAAGTCTGAATAAGAAATAAAGTATAAGAGAAAAACATACCATTCTTCTCCCAGTCGATTCCACATCTTGCAGTGTACCATATCAAAAGAGAGGTATGGGAATGGAAAGTGTCTTGATGCAAATGAACCAACGATGGCAGGTAGACCTCTCTCAAGAGTAAGTTGAACTTGACTACCTGAGGGCTCGTAGTTTGCGATGCACATTGTTAGAAGCTGTTTTGAGAAAAGATGCGCTCCTAAGCTGCCGAAGCCACACCCAATATCTAACACAGTTATGGACTTATCTATTATATATGCTAATATATACAGGTGTATGGATCTGTGATTAACCAGAAAATGGACTCATCTTTGGAGACCATCTCATAGCCTTCAATGGCACATAACCTTCTGAAAATTTAATGAGTATGGATCTGTGATTAACCAGAAAATGTTTTCTACATTTTAACCCTTACTAGATGAACCATCGGGATAATAGTAATAATAATTTAATGAGTATGGATTCTAAATGTGTTTGAACTATAGAAGGACTTAAAGTGTAATTGATATTTCTTGACAAAACTCTAACTTCAAAGGATTATTCTCTTCAAATCAAGTGAAGGCAAATGGGAGGGACTAAATTTGAACAACCCATAAAATTCCAGGACTTAACATGAACTTCAAATATGTGAAGGACCACTTCAGAATATTAAAGATTTAAGGAACCAATATTGAAGAGACCCATAATAAAAACAAATCCTGAATAGGAACGAAGGAACATTAATAAAGCATTTAAAATTAAGGACAGAAAAATCGACAAATTAAATCCAGATATGTTGCTGTATGAAAAAAAAATGAAGTGAAACCAACAATTAATGAGATAGGTATTATTCACAAATTGAAAATTACCGATCTGGCTATGAAAGAGGATGGCGGAGGCGCGAAACTTGGGAATTTCTAGGTTTTGATCGCTTATGACAGGGAACAGGTGTTCGAAGATGAAGAAATCGAGGAAGGCGAAGGGAGTGATCGAGTTCAGCTCCCCATTCAATGCGGCCCTCACCTGCAGATCCACTCTGTAACGGGCATCGGGGCCGAAATCTACGAACCCGTCCTCTCCCTGCATGCATTGAAGAATCAAGAACTCGACTGATCAAGAAATCAAGAAAACCGACGGAATGATGAGGACCAGGAGTAACCTCGAGATCGGAGAGAGAGAGGAGAGAGGGAGAGTGGGGCGTCGTGGGTTTGGTAGCAGCGGAAATTTTTGGGGTTAGGGTTTTTTTCCTCGGGGCGGGACTAATGAAATTTGGGGGAGGAGACAAATGAAATTTCGGGGCGATCTGTTTTAATTTTTGGTCTCCCGCTTAAGTATTCAACGCGTCAGGAGACAAATGAAATTTCGGGGCGATCTGTTTTAATTTTTGGTCTCCCGCTTAAGTATTCAACGCGTCATAACAAAAAAATTTGCGATCCAAGTATTTATAGCGTTTAAAATTTTTCAAACGCTATCAAAAAATAAGGCACATACTATCTATAACACTTACAATATAAACGCTATCATTCAACGCTATAAAAAAACAGTTTTGTTGTAGTGATGTAGTGTTAGATTATAAACTATAGATAATAATTATATTCTTGACCAAATATTTTGGGGAAGAGTAGGAGGTGCATTTAATAAAGAATTATGAATAGTTATTTAAGGATTAATTATACCTAATGATATAATTATAAATTATCAAAATGTGAAAGGGCAAAACAGAAAATAAAAAGTTTTGACATGGATATTCTCTTTTATAAGTAGTATAGATTATACATTACTAATAATTAATATGATGTAGAGTTTTATAATAATATTGGAAGTTCTAAGTACCAAATTATGCAAACTTAAAGTGACATATAATGTAATTAATTAAAAATTATAATTAATTTAGTTTAGTTAGTATTAGAGTGTAAATATTATCTTTTATTCTTTCTGTTTTATTTTTTTTACTGAACTAATATCAATCCTCCTCATCTTTATCTTTTTCATGGGCAATTCTAGAGTTGTATCTTTATCATCCATTTAATTGTGATATCATGCTAGAGTTGTACTTTTTATGCTATTATCGTTCCTGGGCTCGTTAATCTTTTATCTTGTTGTTTAACTTCACAAAGAAGTGAAATATATTTTTGATGTTCAACACAAACTTCTTAAAATACAGACTTTAGTTTTTTAATAATAATAAATATTAATTTTATATATATATAATTCTTTGTGTTCCTAATTTATTACTTAAATAAAATTAGGAGCTACCTCTTTTTTTCTACAATAAAATTTTCTGATGTACATCCAATAAGATTTTCTATTACGTCAATAATATTACACTTGCTCTATCCCTATTATTTTTTACAAAGATCAAACCTAAATACCTACGTTTTTTATTATCAATTTTTCTTAGATTATAATATTAATATTTAATTTCTTTACTATTTGAAGAACAAAGTATAAAATTTATGAATGCTTACTAATTTTTCTTACATTTTCTATGGAGAATTCTTCTTTAATTAGGATAAAGTTATTAAATTATTCTTCAATGCAACTCAGTTGGTGCTTCTTTAATAAACATGCCTTATGTTAATGCTAATTCAAATGATTCATGGACGTTTTCTGAATTTTAGATTTATTTCCGTCACTTTCCCATTTGCAATGGAAATAGCTTGATTATTATGAATGATATCCCTAAACATTATGATAGTTTCTCCAAACATAATTCATTGTATTCTTTTACCCTATAAATATTATT